CACACTTCAGCGTTAAGAGTGAGATTTATCTCACCTTTTCAGTTATGTCAATGATTAGTGAGGACATTACGCAAGTTTGTTTGTGAGTCAGATGAAATTACCATTAGTTTCGGAATTTCTGTTAAAACACTATTTGTGCACTTAGGCCTACAAATACAAGTGATAGCAGATATAGCAAAAGTTATGAAAGAAATAAACTAATTTGTTATTGCTACCTGGACTGGATTTCGCATTATTTTTTACCAAATAAGCCACAAAAAAAACCGCTCAATGAAAGAACACGTGCAAACAACTTCTGTCAGAAGTGGGAGGATTTTAGAAAAAGTAAAATAGAACTTTGATTAAACTACAGCAAAACTGAAGAAATACAAAAAACTGTAATGCCAAAATCGAAGAAATACAGAAAGGGATCATTGTGGTATCACAAAACATCGATGACAGAATAAAGTATTTGGAAAATAAATTAGATAATGAAAAGATTAAACCAGCCACATATCTCTGCATATGCTCGATAATTCCAACTTAAAACACCATTTACTACAAAATGTGGAATAGAAGAACCTATTTGGTCTACATCATTTACCACTACTGTTGTGTTACCTGTTACTGTATGAGCTTCCTGGACTACAGAATCTACTATGATCTTCTTTGGAAGCATGTTGGTGAGAGGATGGCAACCCTCTGAGAAGAATTTGTCAGTGGAAAGTCGACCCACTGAAGCACCCAGAAACCTTGTCGAGATTCCTTCTATAAAATCACTAAGGATAGAGTTATGGATCTGCTTGACCATCTATCCAGGAAGAACTCTTCCAGTTACAAGATAGTAAGTGACAATAAAGGACAAGAAGCCATTGTGTCCGCATATCATAATCCTTGGAAATGAAAAGTGCCAAAACGAATTTGTGAATGGAATGGGCATTTTAATGTATGTTTTATTTTTGTATAAGGATTGTTCAAAGGACTTCACAATGCAGGACGGGGTAGTGCTGTATCCTATGTTTTTAATATTTTAATTTAGATATTTGTTTGCTCGAGGTACATGACGAAATATCTAGAAAGGTCAGGAAAATTGAGGACTAGAACCTAGAAGTTTCAGGCAATGTGTAGAAACAGTAGTACAATATGAACATCAGTGTATCAGTGAAGTATTTTATGTATTAATGAGTCAATAAGTGAATCAGTTCTGTGCCAATCAGTTATTCAGTTAACAAGCTAAAGTTAGTTAGCATGTTATTATAATCGATTAGCGAGAGGAAGTTTAACAAGTAAGTTTGTTTGTGAAGTTAGGCTTACAGGTGAAAGTAACCTGAAGCAAACTTTAAATAAAATTAAACCAGTTTTTTATCATTACATGGACTGGACTTCACAATATTTGTGCCAAATAGTCCAAAAAATCCGCCCAACTATAGTACAATAGTAGCTACTCGCTGGTTTATTTGTCATTGAGTTTTTATGAGTTTCAATCGTTTGGGCATTATTTCTAACTCGGTACAATCAGGGATTTCCATTAGTCTGTTTAATTTATTATTTAGGCCTCCAGTGATTCAGCAGTAAGTCTGAGCCTTCAATCTTATCGTTGAGCCACATATCTTCATCATCTGTTTATTTAGATATATTTTTCCATGTTTTATTTTTGTCATTTATTCAATTGAATCATTTTGTCTTCCAAGCACACTTGTTTTTTTTTTAGTTAAATATATATTAAAGTGATTACTGTGGCCTTTAGTTATTTTTTGTTAGTTTGGTTTCGTTATTCATTTACATGTCCGGTTCGACTTCAAAATTTGTTTGTTCATGTTTTATTCGGGCCGGTGTGGCCTAATAATTAGCCCTCCCAAAAATGCGCTCCGTGTCTTGGGGGCCTATGGATGTGCTATAACATGAAATCCATTATTAGATGAGACAAGATTATTCTGAAGATTATGTTGGGTGCCATTCAGTAGCACCCTTTCCTTTAGTCTTTCAGTTAAACTTAGGGTTTGTTTGTTTACTGGTAAGCATAAAGCAACATAGTGGGCTATTTTTAGGCCATAAGTCCTCAGACTTACCACTAAGCCATATCAGCTGGCCAAACTTAGGAACGACTATGCGCAACTTACCAACAACAACCAATACTCAATATTTTTTATTACATGAATAAGTTCTAAATCGTATATTTTATTTTTTAAGTACTAAATAAATTATTTTTGCTCTCTAACATTTTGTTACATCAAAACGTATATGAATATAATATAGTATGCACTAAAATTATGTGAGTTTTATGGGGTTTAATGGTATTTTTTATATTTTTGTCTTAGCGGAGATTGAACTCTGTATTCTGGCGTTATTAGCCCTCTGCCTTATCGCCGAGTCATCGAAGGTCTATAATTTACGTTATTATAATCAAATTCCTGCCCCTCAGTGGCATGTCTGCTGACTTATAACGCTATAATTTGGGTTTCGATACCCGTAGTGGGCAGAGCACAAATAGTCCATTGTGTTGCTTTGTGCTTAACTATAAACAAACAAATCAAGTTCTTATTGCATATTATATAATTAAAAGGATTGCATTTATAAATTTTTCTCCATTGACTGATCATCGTCATTATTAATGCAATTGCAAAGCGTTTATGAAATGATTAAATAAGACTGACAACTTCTCTTTAAAATTCTTTAGAAATGTACAGGTTTTATACTAAAGAATCTATATTCAAAGAAACAACAAAACATGATAATTAAATACGCTATTTATTTGAAGCATAATGACTGTTAAAATATTCAATATACAAAGCTAAAAGTATTCAAGGTTCCCATTGTTTTTTACAGACACATACAACTTGATGATACGAGAAAATAAATAATTTGTTTCTGGTCTAGTAACACGGGTTGTTATTGATGGTAGCTCATAACATAAATTTAATGAGCCAAACAAGATGAAAGATTAGAAGTTGATTAAAATCCGCTAATAACATTTTATCACGAGGGAACCGGACGTGGTAAACTGCAGTGATTCTCAACCGTTGATCCCTCGGTTGGTCAGTGGTAAGTTTGTGGACTCGCAGTGCTAAAATCCGGGGTTCGATTGCCAACGATGGGCACAGTAGATGTTCCGTTGTGATTCTGCTCGTCCGTTGGGTCATAAAACGCGCCGTAATGGGCCTTACCGGGCCGGGACAACCGTGACTGCCCTAATCTAACGAGTCATCAACTGCACATCTGAGCATTCACTTTTGTGCAAAATAGCTCAGTAGGCCTTGAGCAGTGGTTAAAACGGGGCTGTATGAATCGGAACGCATACCAATAAAGAACAGCATAGCGGTATGACATAACGACAAAATGAATAAGGTATACTGTCACAAAACATCCTATCCACACTTATTTAGTTTCGCACAAAAATAATTTTGGCTTAACTGTCTCAACAACTATAGCGCGAGTGTTTCACATCAAATCAAACAATTACTTGACCAGCTGGCTATCGAAAGGTCTGAGTTTCAAGCCACGATATGCTGCTGAACACGCCTCGTACTTTAAGCTGTGAGGACTTTACAACTGGAGCAGGTTACGAAGAGGGTATTTCTGTCCCTCTGATCAGCAGTTTGAAATTAAGAATGTGTATGCTCGAACTTCTTGGAGTCTCTGAACCTTGGAATTTACAAGTATTAATAAATTTAAAGACATGACACCTGTTCTCAGGCAAATTATAGACATAAATACTTAGAATAAGTATCATATTACTCATCATTTTGGTTAGTAGCTTATATGATCACCAAAGTGTAATTGATTAGACTAAAGCGATGTGCAAAAAATAATTAATAAGTAGATTTAAGGGACTCTAGACTACTAACCATGACAGCGACATCATGTTATGTTTCATACCAACATAAGTTAAAGGTTTTCAGTAACCTTATACATATATTTTTATTGACTTCAATTATATTGAACCTATATGTAATTTATTATGTTAATTACATTTAATATCTTGGTAAGATGAAATTACCATTCGGAAACCAAAGCCATTACCAATTTAAAATTCTACAGCTTAATATATGTCAAGGAAATTAACATCTGCAGAGAACATATGAATACCTGTTGCTAAATGAATTGTAGTATATTACACATAAAATAGTGCGTGAAGCACGTGCTTTATATTCAGTTGGGCCTAAACATGAGATTCCAGTTAAACAAGCTAACTTAATAAACCATTTCAGTATTTCTACAAATAGGGGTCGTTCCTACAGTCTTTTGAGTTTTGCGTGATAACATGAGTAATGAAAGTGTTTTCATGGCGATCTGAATTAAAAGGACACAATTTTCTCGGCCTCGCAGATTTACTACGGGAAGTTTCATTTATATCTTTATCAACTCAGTATAATTTATTATTCAACGAGAAGTAACATAAGTTAAATGACATATAATGCAATTTTATAACTAACTTAAAACTTATTTAGGGCCCCAATGATCTGCTTAAATATCCGTAAGCACAAACCTAAGAAATTCGAAAGGTGTTTTTTAAATACCCGATGACTTTCCAAAATTAAAATGGGTTAGTCGTGTACTAATATGTATATATATATAAATCAGTATCTCGTACTCCATTAGATGACTAGCTTAACTTGAACAAGTATAAACAAACACCAAGTGCTAATATTAACTCATAAACGACTATTTGTTTGTTTATAGTTAAACACAAAGCTACCTAATGGGCTACCTGTGCTGTGACAACCACGGGTCTAAAAACTTGGTTTCTAGTATTATAAGTCTGCAGACGTACCGCTGTACTACTGGAGAGCTTAAACCACTGTAGTAGGTTAAAATGGGAATTTTTGTTCCGGAGCCTTTAAAAGATATTCCAAAGTAGGCCTACTACTACTAAAAGTACGACCAAGCTATGAAGTTCATTTCAAAAGTGATAAAACAAACTAAGAGTTGTGATTCAAATAGACTAATATCTCTTGTATTTCGGATGTACTTGAGGTTGATATCGAACTAGACGAGTAACAGAATAAACGATCACAAAAACATATTGGTCAAAATCAGTTTTATTACTGTGCATGCTCAATCACAAATATACAATTACATTCTAACGACTATTTGGTAAATGGAATGATTGCTTCAAAGGCATGTGGTGGTATATAACCTTAGAAACAAAAACTGTAATCACATATTAAACGTCTAGAAGGATGGACATTTTATCATGCGTATTGCTTAACTATATTTATTTATTAAAGCACTCGTATACTCTGAAAATGTAATAGCTATTTGACTAGCTCCTCCTATTAATAGATAAATAAGATGATGATAGTTTTCGTTACAGCACAATAAAATGAACATATATATTTGATTATGACGTATTTCTAGTAATATTTCACTTAAGGTGTTGTTTTTTTTAAATTCACCTGTAACTTTATTCGCTCTTTCTTGCATCATAAAACTAATATTTTTCATTGACAAAATTGGTCTGTGAATATTGCTTATAAAATCACATTTCCTCTGGAATGAAATCAAAAACATCTTCTACGAATTAGGCTTAATGAGTTAAAATTAGTGACGCTGCAGCGATTACGGTTGGTTCTTTTTTAAAAACAATAGAAAAAAATAATTTTCAACTCAGCTACACTGGAAGAAAAATTACTACACTATTTTCCTTTTACAATTGGAAGCGTTTTTCTCCATTTTAATAGTTGTGAAAGGACAGACGTCTCTTCCAACATTACTCACTCGACTGCCTAACCTGGAAAGGACTATCTTGATTCTACTCGTATTTGGTCAGTTTATCTCGGAAAAAATGCAGAAAAAACTATATAAGTAATATTTAAATCTCCCTATTTTTATTTTGTCCAAAATGGGACAAAAACTTTATATTTTTAAAGGAACATTACAATATTTCTAAATACCATTCTCTATTCAATCTGCTTAAAAAGTGTTTTTTATACTTGTTTTACTTTAATAAGTTAACTTATACTTCATCATACTTCCAGCCGAAATATACTTTGTGTATGTACAACGCACGGGATGTGGACGGTAAGTAACGGACTCGAGCATAAGGCTGCAGATAGAATACTGGAACTACTAGGTTTCTAGATTGAATCATGCTTCTAATACTTGTAACGATGTCGTATAACTGTTATGTCACTCTCCTTCTAGGCAGATTATTCAATAAAAGCAGTTTCGCTAAGTATCAATTACTTCTGTTAGGTACATTGAAATCCTAAACTATTTATAAAAATGAGGCTCAGCAAATTCAAAAATTCAAACCTTATTCAGCTATCCAGAGTTAATTGTTAAAAACAGCTTATTTAAAATAAAGAAAAAATAGCAATATGTTTATAGATATACGGTTTAAAGAATACAGTTCTATTAAAAGTTTTGTATTTTACTAACATGATTAACAAGTTCATTGGATAACCAGACAAATTTGTAATGACGTCCAGCGCATAAGTATCTGAAAAGTGAAATAACTGATCACACAATTATCTAAAGATTTGAAACATTATTCTACACCAGTATTTTTTTAAGTGCAAACTAAGTCTAAGAACATTTATGAAATGTGAAAACCACAGTCCCAATGGACACGTTGGTTATGATTTGGTGCTTCAATACCAAGAATAACTGTACGATAAGTCTTTCATAACAGTAATCCCTTCATATAATAAATACCTTCTCTAAAATTCTAAACAATTCCAACGTACATTTGCCTATTAAAGTAACTTTATAAAGTTCATGACTTAAAAGACCACCTGCTATTCAAACGTATACATATGCACAAGAAAGCTATGCAAAGTCGAGTAATAGTGGACGTTATATATGTAATACGCTGGAGCAAATCTTGGACGCAAATTTCCAGTTTTTCGCTCATATTCAAGCAAAAGAGAAGTGTGTGTTTGCTAGAGAGATTACATATACAGATATATATGATATCATTGCATAGTTTTGCCTATAAACAAGAAACTAACCACAGGAAATAAAGGATTATTAATAGTAAACAGTAGTGAAAGACAGCATGCATTTTGTGGACGGCATCTATAAGCACTTTCGAAATAAGTAAAAACAAATCATCTATTTTTTGTAATAAACGAGATGATTATTACCATGTAATTATGGTATATTATTAGTCATAAGTCAGATAAACTTTAAAAATATTTTTTGAACTTTGATAATAAATGCTGGGCTAAATAATATAAGGCATTTTACACAAAATTTCTGTAAGTTACGAAAATTCGTATGTATCAGTTTAATAATTTTACATCAAGTTTTTCTTTTTTACTTATCACAGAAAATTCTGATAACTAGGTGCTGAGCACTTAGCTTCATCAACATGAACAAAATTTACATAAACATTATGATCCTTCATGACAAATCAGAACAATTCTTAAGTAATATAACATTAAAGATAATTCTGTTTCCATGCGCTATTTTAAGAAAGATAAGGCGACTTAATTGTTGTAAACCTGCAGGAATAATAATAAGAACTTTAACCTCTGGTTATTTGTGAACAACTTTGGGTATTTTGAAAGAAAATGAGACAGTTATTTATTTGATTTTACAAAGAAACTTGTAGTAACATATAATCCTAACATATGGAAAACGACTTTTCTCATAACGTGCCACGTCTTTAAAACATGTATAAAAAGGCGGTAAGTAAAAGGCTTCAAATGATTATTTTACAATAGATCAAATGTGAAATTAAAGACAATATTTCTAACAATATCATGTTAATGTATTCTATTTTTATCATTATTTCTCTTCATTGTTACTAATCGCACTATTCATTTTCAATTGCTCATTCTGCAATCATTATTGTCAGTAGAATTACATGTGTTTACCCAGTTATATTCTACTGGTCCACTTTACAACGATATAATCTAACTGTTACTAGTTAATTTCAAAAATACAATAACAAGTTGAATCAAAAACCTTACTGCTATCACAAATCTAAACATTATAACAACATCAACATTAAATATTGATCAATAAACAACTGGCCCCATTCAACCACTATACCAGTAATATTATCTGAAATGAGAACTTCACATAAATATATGAAAATGAACATAATTATAAAAATGAAATGATAAACTCAAAACTCCATAACTTTGTGACTGGATCGTGATCTTTCCTGAGAAACAAAGGAAGGAAGGATTACAAGATTTAAGGAACTTTTTACAAAGCTTATCGAGAAGCAATCCACTAGTTGCTTTAAAAACAAAAAAACACAGAATTTCGTTTTCAAATACAAGTAATAAATCAATGCATAGCCTATTTCTGCATGTTAGTTAGGACTCTTCCAAAAGCCGTTGAAAAGTCACTTGAAAATGAATTCACAATATGACGTTGACATTTAAAATTCTATTAAACGTGCTTTCTACCAACAGTAAGACAGACGGTGAAGGTTACGAACTGTCATAGCTTTTGAACTCCAAGGAGTTTAGCAGCAGAATCAGCAGAATCAAGCATCTGGTCAATGATTGTCGAATCTTGAATTCCAAGTAGATCCTGGATCAAAGCGTTCTCGTCCTCTGCTCCTTCGGTGATCTCTTGAGAAGTTTTGTTTGTAAATGATAATTCTTCTTTCGCAGCTGATGTGCTGCCCGTGGTTGTCCACTCCGAGGAGGAATGAGCCAAACCTTTTGAACGAGGTAACAAATACAGTAACGAGTTTTGACTTGGTTTTTTCCGAGATTTTGATTTTGATCGAAGGGTAAATTTCATTGGTGGGCAATCTTCGTCTGTACTATCCTGAAAAGCCAAAGTCGCATGTCCTTGATGTTTGCGACGATGACGTGTCATACTATGCTTTAGAGAAAACTTGCGATGACAAATGTCACAAGCGAAAGGTCTCTCACCAGAGTGTGTCCTCATGTGACGTCTGAGGTCTTCTGTCGACCAAAAAACGACGTAAACAGAAAGCACAAATAACTTTTCGTTGAATATAACCCAACTGTTTACTTCTGGAATCGTTTTCTTCTTCCTCGTTGTTATTATTGATAATGTTCATATCTACCGGCGAAGGTAACATGGCCTCTTTCTCCAAGCCTTGTTGGTCTAATGCTCCCTTATTTATTAACAGCTGGTATTCGGAGTTATGGATTAGCTGCAAGTGGTCAAGGCATTCTTGTCTCTTGCCATAAGAATTGTCACATAGGTGACATTTATAAGGTAGATCCAAATGTTGTCCTGTATGGGCATCAAGGTCTTTACGTGAAAGAAAGGTTCTATCACAACATTGACAATGCATATCGTTCATGTGTTTATGCTGTTTTGAGTCTGAACCGGAACAATCACCTTCTGTATCCAGAGCACTCTGGTTAAATGAATCTTTTTGCTCATTCTCACACACTTCTAAGGCATTAGAGTGGTCTTCGTAATGCTCATGGTTATTAAGTTCAGAATCTGAATAGCGAGGTCCAAGAATTCCTCCTTTTTTGGTCCAATGTTTTAAGTAGTAATGTTTTCTAAGATTTCCTGGAGTTGAGAACGTGCTACTTGGACAGATATTGCACTTGAATGGCCTTTCTGGAACACTCCGTGAATGAATCTCACTGTTACGACCGTGTTTACGAAGCAAGTGTCTCTCACAATTCGACTTTGTGGTGAACCAAATTGGACATCGAGGGCACTTGAAAGGTTTTTGGCCAGTGTGAGTTAAAATATGTCTGCGCAGAGAACTTGTCCATGGAAATTTTCGAGAGCAAAATGGGCAGGAAACGCTATTTGGAGAATCATTATAATAACTCTTCTTTTTTGAAAGAGCGTTATTAACAGACTGTGTGCTGTCTTCGGCCGGGATTTTACGTTCTGTGATTTCAGGTTGTTCTTTTTCAGTAATCTCAGAACTACTGCTAGGTTTTCTATCATCTTTTTTGGCATCCATCAGGTACTGACGAAACGCCTGAGAATTGGCGGTGTCAATAACTGAAGAAACACTGGCTAAGTCTGCAGTACTTTCTGAATCACTAGTAATTTTTTTGTTACTCTCACTGCTACTTAAGCTTGAGTTATTGCCACGTATTTTATCACCTTCACTGTTGATATCACCAGTTTCAAAAGAAGTGGAACGTTCAGATTCTTCAGCTACAGTTAAATTCAGCCCTTGTTGTTGATAATCTAACTCTACTGATTTGTTTTCGTTAGCGCTTATTGGATCTTCGGTTTGGTCGTTTTCTTGGGTTTTATTTCCAAGAACAAGGTCTCTGAGCGCAGCTCTAGTTTTACTCGAAAGAGCTGGGGCACTAGGTTTTTGCACAGAAGGGGTTAAATTGGGAATGAAATTTCTGCTTCTTGTGGGTCGAGCATATTCGGGATGTTTTCTTTTAATGTGTCGTTCCATGTTTGATTTCAAAGTAAAACCAGCTGAGCAGTAGGGACAAATAAACGATCTTTGGTTACGTGGAGCCAACTTGTCATTTACCATTTTAAAGTTCATGTAAACATCATCGTTTTGATTCCGAGTTTTGGGTCTTGGTGAAATGTTTGTCGAAAAGGAAATATTCATATAAGGAGAACCAGAAATTCTAGGTTGGCCATGAAAGTTGTTCGTTGTACTAAGTTTAGATCCTGGAAAAAGTGATGGTGAGACGTGGAATTGTTGAGAATTAGAGGAGAAAGAGGTCGGGGAATAACCAGGCATGCTGAAAATACTAGCTGGTTTCGCACTTTCAAATAATTCGGATTTCTGGCTTGTTTTCAGGCTCAGGTCCAGAGCATGCACAGCAAGATTCAGAGGTTCCTCTTGTGGAGGAGGCATAGTTGACAAAATGACAAGACTATTGGCGGCCGATACAATATCATCAATGCTGCTGAGATCTACACTGCCTGTTCTACTTGATGTTCTAGAAGTATGCTCTAATTGTAAGGCCAAATTCAAAGGCTGGTTTGTATCTGTCAAAATTTCAGACTGAGAACCAAATGATGACTTGCTGCGATCATCTTTCTGTGGACTTTCATCTGACAGAATAAGGGACTCTTGGTCAGATATATCACTTGTTACATTTGCAGACACCACCTCGCTGAGTTTCTCTCTCATATCGGGATGTTGCTTCATGACGTGCCTGATACAGTTGTTTTTCGTAGAAAACCCTAAATGGCAGATATTGCAACAGAATGGCTTTCGACTACAGCTATTCTGTAGTGATCTTAGATGATGTCGAAGTACACGATTAAACTTAAAGTCCACATTACAATACTTACACACGCTAACTTTAGTATTAATCTCCTTGGGTGACTTTAGTTCGGCCATGTTCGGGTTATATTGCATAGCACTTCGAATTTCTATTTTGTTTACTTTCTTATGACGTTTTCTGACATGGCGTTCACAGTTAGCTTTTGTAGTAAAGGCATATTTGCATATTCCACATTGAAAAGGCCTCTCCCCATTATGAGTTCGTAAGTGACGGATCAGTGTGCTCTTGTCTAAGCTAGTGTAGGAGCACAAAGAGCAGGAGTAAGTTGTACATCCCTGGGAGTGGCACCTTTTGTGTCTTTTGAGAGCACTTGCACTTTTAAAGGCAAAGCTACAATAATCGCACGGAAATTCTCCAATTTCATTAAGTTGACCTGAAGTTTCTGAGTTATGGTCATTGCTTGTCTTGTTTTTAGTGTCAGACTGTTCGGTCTTAGATGGAGAAGGAGGACTGACTGCAGCTGTATCAGCTACTAGAGGAGACTCTGGTGAAACACTAGTGGTAGGCTGAGGTGGGGAAGCTGGTGAAGCAGCTACAGGTGAAGATCGAACACTGGACAACAGCGGAGATTTAGATGTAACTGACAAAATCGACTGGATATCAGCAAAGTCTCCAGTTGGTTCAGTGGCTAACCCCTTTCTAACTTCTTCTTTAGGTTTTCCATAAATGAAATAGGATGGGTTTTCAAAAGTTCCTTCTCGAGTCTCACGATTTGCTGGCTTCAATGCTACCTCAGACCCCTTGGTTTGCAATTCTAGCAGAGCAAGAAAATCTTGTTTCTTAGGTCCCAAATGACTTGACTCAGAATTCAGTGGTTCTATGGCATCTTTGTTTGCATGCGCTTCTTCGAAGCAACGTTCAATAGCTTTATGTTTTAGCTGGTGTGACTGTAGGGAAAGTGGAGACTCGAAGTCACATCGACAACTTGGACAATAAGTTGTCATCCTTTCATTATGATTCATTTTATGAAGTCGAAGAGCACTTCCACAAGGGAAACCCTTATTACATTTTGGACATTGGAAACTGTGAAAGGCACTACTTGGACGTCGTTTATTTTGTTCACAGTATGTCTTTGCAATCAACGAAAATTTATCCAAAGAAAAATCAACAAATGTGACATCCCGAAATCCGACACAAGGTTGTGCGAGAGCATTTTGCGATTCCAATTCCTTCTTTTTTTCCTGAGTAATACAACAGCTTTGTTTAGAAGGTGAAGCAGTAACACCACAATCAGAGCTTGTAAGTGGATCACTAAGTTGCGTGTCCATATGACTCTGAAATTCACATTTCTTACTGAGGTCTTCTTCAAAAACAGGAACACCGTATGAACTGTTGTTTAGCGTGTTCACGGTCTCCGAGCCTACGCTTAGTTTTTTTATAACAGAATCGGAAACGTAAGAATTTGGCTCGCCACAGAGCTTTCGTTTAGACGTCGGTTTAGTTTTCGATTCTTTTGAGATCTTTACGCCTTCCTGGTTCTCATCCGTGACACCGTGGGTCCGCATATGGCGATGCATGTTTCCGTTCGTGGTAAACGCCATGTTGCAAATCTTGCACTTGAAAGGGCGTTCCCCTGAATGAACAAGCATGTGGCGATCTAATGAACTAGTAGAACTGAGAGTTTTACCACAAAGACGACAAGTTCTGCTCTGATCGTTAGGATTGTGCTGACGGATATGTACGGTAAAGGAATGGGCTGAGTTCAGCAGCTTCCCACACAGTGGACACGAGTATGGACCTACTTGTGTCGACGAAACTTCGATTGAAGTCTGCAACGGGAAGAACATTTAGATAAATACTGTTGAATGGAGTAAAACATGATATTAGAATGTGTTCCATACAAAGGGAAAATTAAAAGGACCTAATTATCATCAGTAATCAAAATATTAACTTGTATTTATATTAAAATTGCTCACAGTTAACGAACCAAAGTCTCAAACATTCAAACGTTAAGAGCACGATAACTATAAATTATATCAAATAATTACAGCGAGTTAATTGCAACAAACAAATAATTATAACTACCTTTTCGTTACTCCTTTCTAGATCTTCTATCGTGAAAGTTTTATTTTCTCCCTTATCCACTGTTGAGAAATTCTGATCCGATTCTTCCGTCAGAACATCTTCAGTAGCTTCAGTGTTTTTCTTAGTGATTGTCCTTTTCTTATCGATCAATCTATTTTCTTCATTGTCATCCACTGGCTTAACTTCGTCAATTGCTTCTGTTTCAAAAGATAAAAAAACTGATTATAATGGCATTTAGGTGCGCCACAAATTTTTGTCCCAAATCTTTCACTCTCTTTTTTTCCCATAACAATTGGTACGCGGACATATAATATTTTCAAAAAAGTTGATATATATATATATATATACATATATAGATAGATAGAGAAACAAACACAAGAAAGCATTCTTATTAAAGTAAAACAGTATAAGGAACACAATAATATCCACTCGATAACTTCGAGGAGGATGAGGAGGCTCACCAGGAGTGATGTATATGTGCATAGTGTTGGTGCTAAGTTTTGGTTTTGAAAATGATAAAAATAACTTTTTAATAAAAAGCATTTAAACATAAAAAGTAATGAATATAAAAGGAATACTGTACCTATTGTTGGTACTTATTGTCCAAATATACATATTAGTATTTCATTTGTTAATGCACAAGCAAAACAAATAGTAGATAGAATTATTTTATCAAGAAGACAACCCAAAAATTCGTAGATTATTGAATAAACCTAAAGAAAGAGATTTCTCTAATGAAGATATTTTTAGATGCGAAATAAAGAACTGTGTTTTATGTAATTTAGGCTATGTTAAAACTATCAAAACAATAAAGAACTGTGTTTTATGTAAGTTAGGCTATGTTAAAACTATCAAAACAATAAAGAACTGTGTTTTATGTAAGTTAGGCTATGTTAAAACTATCAAAACAAT